GGTGCAGCTGCCCGACAGACGGCTGACGAAAATCTGCAAAACGACGACAAAGATACAAATCAGCAACGGAGGCCCTAACCTAACTGGATGGATCACGCAGACGGCGCGATGCCATTCGAACACGTCAAATAGGCGAACAAGGCATGTGCTGGCTTCACGTGTCTGTCAAACTGCGATGACTATGGGAAAGACACCAGTGGACTGAAGAACGGGAGATACTGTAATCATATTCAAGGCGACCACAAGAAATACTCCAATTATAGGGGCATTACGTTACTGAGCCTAACAGGTAAAGTCTACGCAAAGGTGCTAGAAAGGAGGTGCCGAGGAATAACTGACTTCAAGATAAAACTAGAGCAGTGTGACTTCTGATCCGGTTGAAGCACCTCTGGCCATATATTTGCCCTGCGTGATTGATTATCGAGAAACGGTGGGAATACGCCCGTCCGGTGTACATGCATTTTGTTGACCTAGAAAAGGCCTATGACCGGATCCCACGTAGCAGTCTGTGGTCATGCATTCGAGCATACGGGATAGATGGTCCTAGAGAAAGCGTATGACCGGATCCCACGCAACAGTCTGTGGACATGCCCTCGTACGTACGGGATTGATAGGAAGTTGCTGAGGGCCATCCAGTCATTGTATTCTGATAGCAGGTGCTGTGTCAGAGTTAATGGCGTTAAGTCGAACCCATTCAGTGTTCGCACTGGTCTCTGCCAAGGCTGTGTCCTGTCCCCTCTCCCGTTTGTGTTGTACATGGATAGAAGTGTCGGGAACAGCCAAGGTGATGAATGTGCCGGTGAAGGAGATGTCGAGACGAGGGGATTGCCGTTTGCAGATGACCTTGTTTCACTGGCATCTTCTGAAACTGATCTACAGTGCTCCCTGGAAAGGTTCGCAGCCGAATGTGACATGACCACCATGCATGTTAACGCATCTAATACGAAAAGACCAGTGCTTTCTCGTTCTCTCGCCCGTTGGTCTCTTCAGACTAACGGAGAGGCAGTGGAGTAGGTGGAGAAGTTAGCCTATTTCTGGGTGGTATTTACTGGTGATGGAAAATAGAAGGAAGAGATGGACCGGCGGAATGCAACAGCCAGTGGCATTCCGCCCAAAATTGTCAGAACCGTTGTGGCTAACAAAGAAGTGAATATGACAGCCAAGTTCTTGGTGTTAAAGTCGATCTTCATTCTTTCTTAGGTAATGAGTCGTGGGCCATGGCCGAAGAACTTCGATTCCGGCTACAATGGGCTGAAATGGGATTTCTGAAACGAGTGCTGGCCTTACGCGTCTCGACATGGTCCGGATTACGTAAATTCGAGGTCTTTGGTGTACAGCCGCTGCTTCTTCAGACAGAAATCACAACTGCGATGGTTAGATACGTGCTGTTACTGCCTCCAGAATGGAAGGCGACTAAGGTAAGTACTACTTGACCAACCAAAAGGCAGAAGAACTAGGGGACAACCAAGATTAACCTGGTTTAAGTGTAGTGAATGAGTCTGCCCTAGCCTCCGTTTGTCTTCTGCCGAATCTCCATCCCTGGCACAGGATCTGGTTCGTTGGATGCACTGTCTATCGTGTCTGCCTCCGCGATCCGAAAGGAAAAGCGGACATGTAAACTGAAAGTAAAAGAATGATCAGGCCAATCTCAGACACTTTCTCTGCTCCAGCGACTGATGAAGAAATTAAACCTGTACAAGTAACTAATGATGAAATACAGAACTGCCTTGTTCATCTAACGAGGTTTCAGGCTCCAGTGGAGTCAGTCAGTGTGTGCTTAAACTTTGTTCAGTTGGACTATGCAACATAATGTGTAGTATGTTGAACTACTGGCAGATACTTGTTCCGGATATACGACGCCTTGCACTGATTACGTCAGTGCAAAAAAAGAGAGCATCGACAGAAAGCCTTGATTTATTTCGACCAATCGCGTTGACCTTTGCCATGCTCAAGTGCCTCGAACACCTCAGTCAGCCACTTATAGAACGAAAGGTTGCTGGTGCACTTGATCCATGGCAATTCTGCTACAGAAAAACACTAAGTACCGAAGACGCCATTGCTTCTCTAACAAACGAAATTGTGAACGAACTTGATAAAGGCGGCCGCTATAGTAAGTAAACATTTTTCGACCTGTCGTCAACAGTCAATACAATCCCTCGTAAAAGTTGCTGATTAAACTGAAGGTATTTGCCATGGGCCGTTCTATTATTCAGTGATTGGCAAGTTACTTTTTCCGTCGTCGCAAGTTCGTCAAAATCGGTAAAAAGTAATATCTCGTCATGACAAACCAAGGTATTGTTGTTCAAGGCCCTGTCATTTTGC